ATAATAATAATAATAATAATAATAATAATAATAATAATAATAATAATAAAAAAAAAAATAATAAAAAAAAATATTAATAATATGTTATATTAAACAAACAATAATATAAAAGAACAGCTGTACACAATCGAGACAGTTTTGTATGTTTTAACTAAGTCACTGATTATCCAAATATACAGTATAATGTACATTAGTTGTGTTCACCTACTTAAAAAATAAACCGCGTTTTGACGAGAGTGGTTTCCAGACGGTGTACCGACATTGGTGACGGTTGTTCATGTTTTAGTGGTGAAGGGGATTGGATGATGGTAGTATGGACGAGTAGGGAAAAGGGAAATAAAGGAAAAACGACCGTTCGCGGTTACCGATTGTTGGGTTTCGTCCGCGCGTGCGGATACCGACACCGAACCGGGTGGCGCGAAAAGGATTCTCGCGGGCGTTCGAATTGCGTACCGCGGGGCGCAAGACGAGACGACCGCGTGAGAGAGTACTTCGCAAAATGCTCGCGCGTAACGGGCGCCGTAAAAGAGACCGTTCCGGAAACGTGCCAATGGGTTCGCGATTGAAACGCCGACGACCTGTTACAGGCGCAGGCGATCGGATAAAAACGGCGTTTGCAGCGGTTTTCCGTGGCGTCGCTCGTCGAACCGGTACACGCGTGTTTCGGATCGGACGAGTGTCGCGGGTCGAGTCTGGCTACTGGGTCCGAATTCGTCGAGATCGACCGTCGTACGTTTATCGCGTGTGTTCACGTCGAGTAGCGTCGGTCGAATATTGAGATTGGGGCGCGCAAATCGAAAATCGATTTGCGGACCGACATCGGAGCAAACAATGAAACATAGAAAATACACCGATTCGGTGTGCAACGGTCGGTAAATAGAGTCGGTAAGTGGATTTTGGTCTAACGCCGATTACAGTTTGGGTGTCGATCAGACGAATGGTCGTTTCAAACGGACTGAACATTTGGTTTGGCCCGCGGATCCTGGACTTGTACGTCTTGCACCGACGTGACGTACGACGCGCGTTCGATTCCAATCCTCCCCCCCTCTAGCATTTCACCGGTATTCAAACCTGTTCAATAGCGGGTGATTCGAGGGTGGTGTTCGAACGCGAGAACGATGTAAAATACATCCTAACTGTTTCATCGGTTTTGAATTATAACGTTGACGCCGTACCGGGGGTAAGATAAATGTATTTGCATTATGTCATTGGTACGCTCTCGCTACGTGTATTTGTTGTAAAGATAAAACGGTCTCGGGGTCTCGGGCGACTATAAAAGTTCAAAAATATTGTATTGGTTACGCACAAACAATTCGTACGAGTACGACTAATGAGCGTACCATATTGCAGAAAGTGTAAAAACATTTAATATAACCATCGTTTTATCACGTTTTGTGTATATTACATGAACACCGTCGTCCCAAACATTCTCTTTAAAAATTATTTTTAGTACACTTACATCAACTCATACTTATCAGATATATATATATATTTTTTTATGGCACATAAATATTATAACTATACAATAATGAACAATTACATACAAGTGCACTAAAACTACTGATGTAAATAAAAAAAACAAAAAAAAAGTAAAATAAAATAAAATCAAAACAAATTACTTTATTAGTCTTATCCTTTTTTTTTTTTTATGTAATAGTAATGTTTATTTTCTACGTTTTCATGTTCGTGAAATTCGTGAACCATAACTGTTGACGGACGTTGGTAGACACCTAAGGAAAAAAAATAAGAATTAGGTACCTATATACTCGTAATATTATATTATAAAACTTTTTCCCCTGAAAAATTTCTATCCAATTTCAGTGCCCGCAATTAGTGCATATTAGCACTAAGTACATATATATACTAGTCTCGAAGATCGGTCTGAATGGAGAGTCATTACTGATGGTCAATTCTCGAGCGGGCAGTTAACTGCGAAACTAGGAGTCTACGAAAATGCCCGTATGTGTATGTGTGTGTGTGTGTGTAAATACGTTAAGTCTGATGATATACTTCTCTAACATCAATCGAATAGCATTAGTTACTATAAATTTACACTACCTATACTTTTTTTTTCTTAAACATCTAGATAAAGTCAAAATCGATGATTTCACAGCTATGTACGAAATCGCATAGTATAAAATGTTATATTCTATACATCATTACAAGGTTTTAATATACAGCTGAGGTAATAATATAATTTTTTAAGTTGTAAATTGTGAATAACATTTACCCTACTTGGGTATTGAATGATTATCCATTTCAGTAACTTGCAAAATAATATTTTGCTGAAAACCAAATATTTCAATGTATCATTTTTGTTATTGAACAGACTCTAGTAGTAATAAAAAGTTTATTTAAACTGATTTTGGACTGTTTTTTTTAACACATAACTAAAATTTAATAACATATTTAAAATTTTAGAAAACCTACGATTTCAGCAGGTAATTTTTAACCTGAATATAATGTATTTTTGAATGTAATTTAAAATTAATTTAGAGAAATGTGAGTTCTAAATATTGATAAAATATGTTAATTTGTATACCCTTAATGACAAAATTTTGCATTTAAAATATATATTAAAAAATTTAATGCATAGTCTTATTAAAAAAAACGAATGTAAATCTTTTGATTTTTTTTTCTTTAAATATATCCACAGGAAATTATTAAATATTTTGTGCTAATACAACAGTGTAAGATATATATCGATTTAAAATTAAGATTTATATTATAAAAAGTTATATGCCTGTAAAAAAATTTGAATAAAAAAGAAGTATACGTATTATGTTATTATTTAACGCTTATCACAAGAACAATTTTTGAAATGAAGGAACTAAATCAAAATTTAAACTAACATGCTTTCTTATAAACATATTTTATGGTTCTTTATATAAAACTTTTTATTCGATTGATGTAATGTTACAGGTATCTTACTTTTTACTTAATATTTAATTTTATGTAAAAATGTACTGTTTTTTAAGTTTTCTTGTATACATAATTATTTTTTTCTATAAACATGACTCGAATAAATAATATTTTATTTTAATATGTAACAGTTTAAAAATAATTTATCATAACGTTTATTACATTTCAAAAACTTAAAAAATTATTACATTTATTTAAAATTCAGTGATATTTTATTTAAACAGACAATTATTTCGCAAATTTTGAAGTCTACCAAATATTATATGAAATATTGGTAAACAATTATATTTCACCATATTTTTTTAATTAAGTGTGTTGGTTTATTTAAACTATGAATATTATATTAATCAGCAATACAACAGTATTCTGAATTTTGAACGTACTTCGTAACACTACCCATTTATACTCGTAGATATTCAATTTCCATGGTGTGCAAAAAAATTGTAGGTAGATTGCATGAAAGTCGAACGAAATTCGCTGTTTCCTATATACCTATTGTATAATACTAACATGTGCATTTTTGGTACATTAACTATAGCTATTTTATGAGGTTAAATTAATTTTTACGGTTTTGTTTTGATTTGGAAATTAAGATCTCTGTAATAAAAGATTTGAACGTTGCGATATGCAGTATATGTATACCACAACCAAACGATGTTATTCGATTTCGTACATATACATAATATTATTACAATAATCATTTTGTATTCATAGATTGCGATAGAAAAGAAAAATGGTATATATATATGTATCAGACGTTTTGTGCACGATTATAGTGTTTGATATTCGATATCAATGAAGCATATATGATGGTGTACTTGATAGCACAATAAATTGTAATATTTAAGACATTTATGGCTAGATATGTGCCTTGTTTTTGGTACACTATATTCCTGTCAAGATTGTATTAACCTATATATGGATTATAGAGCGAAACATTATGTTTACGAATAAGTTTATTTAATTTTTTTTTTTCGTAATTAAATACTCTAGACGACGCGATTGGCGCCCGAGACGTAATATTTATGTATTTTAATAATAACTACTTTTTTGAAGTACTTTTAATTTCAATCTCGGCTGTATATTAAGGTCCAATATATTATGATGGTTATTTTTTCCTGACATTGCATCGATAACCTACAATGTAAATATTCTTACTACATCTACTGTTTACTGTGCTGTATATTTTCTAAACAATTTTAACATTTATTTAGTTTGCACCCATATTATTTGATCGAACACAATTATATAAGATAAAGATAAGTAAAATTATTCAATATATAGAAATATAGAATACATAATGAAAAAACGTTAAAAATCATGATGCATAATCACCAAAAATAAGCCGTATGCGTAATTTGTCCATACCGCAGGATTACATTTAAAAATAAAGTATAATGTTTTTTTTTCTTAATCAAATTCTTTTATATGCAATAACATATCATTATAGTGATATATATAACCCCGAGGGAGTTGATTTTTCGAATTCTTATAAAACGTGCATAATATGTACACAACTTGTATTTTCGTACATTAGGCACACATAAGTATATTATATTTTTACAATAAATGCATTTAATAACTTATCAATGGTGTAATACCCAATGGTATAGTGCGTTTATATTTTTTACGTTTTACACCATTCAGAATATTCTCTAAAGTTCTTTGAAAAACTATGGGCAATTAAACAGCGAGAATTTTCTTACGCGAATAATAAATATACAGTGTTTTGACTGAACTTTTAATTAATATTAATAATATTTTTGTATAATAATATACTAATAGAGTACAGTCAGGTACAGTATAAAATCAACAAGAGTTACAGATTATTCTTCAACTTGTAAGCCATTGATTTTTTATTAATTTCGATTGAACTTTACGAAAAAAATACAAATAATTAATTTAAATTTAAAATTAAAATTGTTGTAGTTTACACGCTCTTTTAACTCTTCCCTGTATATCATTATAACCACAAAAAAAAAAAAAAAAATTACCCAACGTTCACGGTCAAGCAGCTTGTTATACTTCTAAAAAAATAAAGGGGATATCGGTGGTCGCCGCCGGGTCAAAATCGGTGTATGATCTGGTGTAAGATTATCATAATCCGCATGATATATTATAATATATTATTTTAAAAGAGCCACGATGACTGATAACGGTGCAAGTGCGCATACTCGCGTGTGTATGTAATTTTTATTTTTTCCGTCTCGTTTTTACACGTCGTTTTTGAAAAACTAAAAAAAAAAATGACATCAAATCAATTGCGGTTGGCACGCGTAAAAATGACCGGACGTCCGCGGCAGGCTCGTTTGTCACCGCCGTATCCGCGCGTAAGCACATTAGCAGTTTATTACAGACATCGCTGGTGGGCTCCTCGCGCGCGCGTGAGTGAAATTGACAATACTGCTGAGGGACACTTGTCGGGCGATTTAAACGATTGCGGGGCCGTATAATAAGGGTGGACATAAAAAAAAAAAAATGGAAAAAAAAACTAACAAATTTGAAAAAGAGGTAAAACGAGGAGACGCGGTCGAATGTCCCATTAGAATACACGTACCCATAGGTACCTGTTCAGAACATGTACAACGGTTATAGAACAAATTATGATGTTACACTTCGAGGATTGCCGACTATTATGACCCAAACCAATGGAGAAATTTCAAAGGGCTTTTCATCCCGTTACAAAACGCGTATGATTACGCGCGTACGCGTTTCGACCCCCTAATGAACCATGTGCATGATGAACCTACGTTTACAGCCTGCGCCATGTAGCACAACGACAACGGCCCGTACGTAAACGTGAACACGCGCACATATACTTACTTGGATATCCACAGTGAAGACGCGTACGACCTCCTCGTCTGTCACCGGTAGCGTTCGGGTGAGCCGGAGTGATCGCTGTCCATGATTGTGATGGAATCCCTGGCCGCGGTCAACGCAGCCAACTTCTGCTTGTACATATCCCGCTCGACAATGACGCGCGACAGTTCGACCCTCATCTTCTGCATCTCGATCGTCAGCGCCTGGTTGCTTTTCTCCAGCTCAATGCGCTGGTTCATGCGCTTGGTCCGGCAGCTTTGCGCGTAGCCGCGGTTCTTTAGCGTGCGGCGCTTCTGCTTGAGCTTGAGCACCTCCTCCTTGGAGATGCCCTGCAGCCGCTTGTTGAGGTCACGCACCGGCAGCTGCAGTAACAGCGCGTCGTTGATCGGGTCGTCGGACAGGTCGCGGCTGCCACGGTCTGCCGAGAACGAGCACATGGACGACTCGACGAGGTTGCACACGCCGGGGCCGCCGGGCGACGTGCTCATGCTGCTGTCGTTGCACACGAACGACGACCGCTTGCCGATGCACCCGAACGAGCTGGGCTGGATGACGGTCACGTGCTGGTGCTGCTCCATGTTCCACTCGGCCGTTGGGCCCGGCTGATGGTGGTTGAGGTGCTGCTGTTGCTGCTGCTGTTGCTGTTGCTGCTGCTGCTGCTGCTGTTGGTGGTGGTGGTGCTGCTGTTGCTGTTGCTGCTGCTGATGATGGTGGTGGTGGTGGTGGTTGTGCTGCTGAAGCATCTCCTCGGAACTCGCGTAGTTGGGCCTCAGGTCCAGCGGCTCCTGTCCCTGGCGCAACGACTGCGTCAAGAACGTCATCTCGTCCATGAAGCCCGGCTGCCGGATCGGTATGGCCAGTGGCGGTGACGTGCTTACCGGCGGCGTTTCCGGTGGTGTGCCCGGCGTGCTCTGGTACATTATCGTGCCTGCGGTAGAGGCCGCTGCCGCCGCGGAAACTTTGACCGCGGTGGCGCCTCCGATCGCTCCAGCGACCGCGATGGTGGCCGAGAGGCAATTGATGCCCATGGCACCACCGCCACCGCGGCTGCCACCGCTGGCCTGTATGTGTGGGTGCTGGTGCCGGTGGTGATGAGACGACGCTGAGTATTCCGACTCGCATCCGGGTGGCGTGAGCAGGTAATGGGGCGATGGCGACCGGACGACCACGGACGTGTTACGGGCACCACCCGTGATGGGCATGGACGGCAAACGGCCGCCGACCGCTGTTTTGCCGACGTAGTGGTGCAGCTGCTGGTTATGGTGCTGGTGGTGGCCGCCTTGATGCTGCTGCTGCTGCTGCTGCTGCTGCTGCTGCTGGCCGTGGTGCTGATAGTCGGCCGACGGCAATTCGCGCTTCACCACGTTCTCCAGGTGGTCCAGCACGAACTCGTTAACGTACTCGTCAGCTAGACGTGGGTCGTCGGCTTCCATGTCGGCCGGTAAAAAAAAAAAAAAAAAAAAAAAAACGGAAAACGGGTAAAAGCGTGTTTACACGCACGAGAACGAAACGGGTGTCCGGCGTGAGTCACGACGACGATGATCGACGGTAGATGTTTCCGACGAACGTTTCGATGTGTCACATCGCACCTCGGCGTTTCGGTATGCGACGATCACCAAAATCGTTATCGATGGACAAGCTGCAAGAATAACTTTAACGCAAACGCGCGGGCTGAAGCACCCGCCGGACGGCAGAACAGTTTATACACGCAGTGATGTGCACTCGCGCGATAATGTTCGGAATTGAGGTGCCGCGGCGTCAGAACGTAACCGATGCAGTTTCCGCAATGCCGCGGCCGTCGGTGGCTCTGGGCTCAGCGCGCGCGATCGCGATCGACGGCGGCGCGGCGCTGGGTGCCCGGTCGGTGGGTGGGACGGCGCGCGTTCATTGGCTGGCGCGCCGTGCGCGACCGCCCCTCCGCCGGCTCTGGGGTACGACGACGACAACACCTCGCTGCCGCGGCTGATCGAGTAACGACGTGACGGATCAGGACCGCGGCCGCGACGTTCGCCGTTCAATCCTTTTGCTCCTTATTTTTTTCCCGCCTCAAACTCGAGATCCCGTCGCGTGTACGTATGCACGTGGCGACCAGCTTGCCGGCCGACCGACGACCACACGGCCACGGCCGCTGGGACGATTCCACTCCGACAGCGGTTCTGCACCGGTACTGCCACAGACGCGTCCAACCACACGCATAAACACGCGACCACGCGCGCCTGTGTGAGTGAAAAATACAAACAGCGTTCAAAAGCCGCTCTTAGACGCCTAACCTGTCAAACATTTATTATTAGTCTATTTGAAATTTAAATCCGAGCCCTAGTTATAAATTATAGTTTGTGATTGCATCGAAAATTCTCTTCCCATCTTTTTGTTATGTGAGCAGTTGTGGAAAAAGCCACATTAGGCATTATGTTGTACGCATTGGCGCAATTTGTGGGGAAGGGGAGGGCTTGAGTGTGCCTAGCACCCCCATTTTCGAAATTAGCACCCCCAAATGTGTTTATGTTAGTTTACATTTAAATACTCATTACTCATTATATTAAGAAAAACATAATAGTTTTTAAGTTTTTTGTATAAATATATACATTTTTATACAATACGAAAATATTTCAAAATACGAAAAAATATATCTTTGCTATAGGGTAAAATTTTCAAGTTTTTAGTCACATTACTTTTGGAATTATGACTAGATAACTAAAATTTGAAATGTGAAAGTCTTATTTACAGCGTATTTTTACCATTTTAGGACAGTTTTTTCACGTCTAGAAAAACTATTAAGATTTAAAAAAATGACCTATCTAAAGTACCACCGCATGCCAATTTAAAATCTTTTTAATCCCAAAAAAACTTTTGAACCAGTATTTCTATCCAAAAAAGTATTTAACAAATAAAATACAAACATCATTATAAAACTATAATATCCTTCGCTTCAGTCAGAATCTAAAAACAATCATATGATAAAACATTTGTGTTTACAGACAAGTAATTCGTTATACGCACAATAAAAATATAAAATCAAAGTGAACAATTTAAATATAGAAATATTCATATATTTACCTAATATTTTAGTAACTGTTGAATTGTACGGTTTGTGGGTGTCTATAACCATTAGGGAATATGAAAAAGATTGAAGGGCTTCAACACCCCCAGTTTTTTCATTGAAATTGTGCCCCTAGTTGTACGATAACCCAATGTGGTTTTTTTTTTAATGGCTTTAGAAACAATTGTTTGTTGTTTCACTTTTACATTCTAAATTATTTTTTGTACATATATATAATATATGAATGTAATTTCAACACTTTATGAAACTACAAGTCAATATGGTCTACAAATAGTCATAAAATGGAATGATCGTTGCAAATAATTAAAGAAATTACACATACATTTAAGATTATTGTAAGATTTATAAAATTATACATTTTTTATATTTCCATTTCATTCTGCTTTCTGATTTTTATTTCATATTACAATAATTTACATATATATATAATTAATGATTCTAGTGTTTTATGTTGTATATTTTAATAATTTTAAGTGAATAAATGGACGTAGGTATATTTTGTTGATCTTTATGCATCGAATTTACAGTTCTAGTTCATACTATATATTTTTTAAACTGACATTTGTATTTATTAATTAGTTTTCATAAAAATTATGAAAATATTTAAAAAATTTGAAACATACAATAACTTATCTCTAGGGCGCGGATTTTTATGTAATTACATATATTTATTGAATGTGAATCTTGATTCAGATACTTAAATTGCTATTACTTCTGATATTATGTAAAATAATAACTTGCAAAATAATTTAGCATATATTTCCAAATTTTTTTTTTTGTTAGTTAAAATAACAAAATATTAGAAACATTGAATCTAACAATAATTTAAAGTCTCGCGATAGTGGAAAATGCAGAAATTCAATGAAATTAAGTTCAAGAAGAATCCGGAGTAATAATAAAAATTAATTAAACTACGTACTGGGTAATACGTTAGTTTATAAAAAAATTTAAATTATTAGATATAATTTTATAAATATAAATAAAAATATGTCAAATTATATCGAAGTAACATTATCCGATATATGTGGTATGAAATATATGCCCCATTAACCTCAGTAATGCAGCCTCAGCCGCTGCGAGTTGACTTTGAAATCTAACCGCCGTACATTAAAATTTGAAAATTTTTAAATGTACGTCTTATCCAATTGTTCCGAAGAAGACAACAATGAAGATGATTAAATAAATAATTATTAATTAATAATTAAAAATTAATGGAAAATACCAATTTTTTTTTTGTTAAATATTTTACGTTTTGTAATACATATTTTAACAAAAATAAGAACATAAATATTTACATAAAAATCCGTGCCCTGCTTATCACTATTTCAATTTTATTTTCAAAATTTATAAATTTCCTAAAAAATAACAGTATTATTTTGCTAATATGCCTATCTTATGGGAATATAATGATGTCTTAGAAAAAGCTAAACAATACTGAAATATATACATACGAGTATATACCCTTTTTAAGACTGATGACTAATACACGTCAGTATTGAATATATAAGTATAATGAAAAATTGTTTTTTCAAACATCTATTATACCTATTGTTACCTAAGTATGTAAATTTAACCTTTATAGTGTCACATTAATTACACTTATTCAATCTAAAATCTATAACCTACATGTTATTATTTGTGACCTATACATAAACATCAATGTTTTTATTCCATATTTACAAGTTTTAATTGCTGTAGTGATGTACCTAGGTCTGAGGTGAATTCATAGTTTAATTAAGGGGAAAGAGGGCGTGAATAAAAATATTTATGAGTGATATATAAAGTACAATGAAGACTTGATCGTGATTTGAGAAATTTAATCCCCAAGTGGAGGGGATGATCACCACGTAAGCCCCCTCATAAATCCTTCCCTGACCTAGGTAGATTACATTATGTATTGCACGTGAATCATATATAACGTGTAGATATATCATTTAAAAAAAAATATAAATTTAGTATTTTAAATATTTCTTAAAATTTTAAACTAAATATTAATAGTATTAAACTCATATTAATGATAAAATTAATAAATATATTTGTATAATAAGTTTATGTGTTTTATACATGTATTATTATGTTAGAAGTATTTATAAATGTGTAACTTAATGAATAATATTGTCGAAAAAAGTAATAGTTTTTGTATGCATTATATAATACTAAGAATCTACATGGAACAAGTATGTACTACTTAATTTAAATATTTGTGTAATGATTAATATTTGGGATTATAGAGATAATATATAATTATATTTGTAGAGATACGTTCCAACAAATATAGTATATTTAGATGGAATTAGATTAATTCTAATAATTTATTCGTACAAACGAAGTACTCGTATAAATTATGATTCTGTGTACATTGTGTTGTACGCAAAATTTTAAATAAATATTTATTACTAATTATAATTATTCTGGTCCGATTTTAATTAAAACGATTGGTTTTTCGTGTATACACTTGGTAGGTGCTATTTTAACATTAAGCTCAACCAATACACAAATTGATTATGTATTTATATATATATATATGTACATATTATATGAGCACGTACGTAGATAGTAGTATGTGTACGTTATAAAACGTAAATTAGTTACAATCATACATTTAGTATTTGTAACAAATATTGGTCAATCAAATAGGTCTAATATCACAATATTATACAATTTTTTATTTTTACAATTCTGCAAACACAGAATATTCGTTTCCCCAGGTACGTTTGCGTCTTTATATTCCTGCGTAAATTTAACTATAATCATTTTAGTCAACATACACGTACGCATATACGGCTACGCATGTAATTTTTAGAGAAGCCTTTGCTTATTTTAAATACATTGTAGACGCAATGTAATGTTTATGAGGGCTTCATATAAAAAACATAAAATTATACGATTAACATTATCATATATTGTACTACTACACATTGAAATTAATGGAATGAAAGGAGGGTGGTAGTAATATATTTCTTAAATTATAATCAATAGCAATTAGGAACAGTAAACGTATTCGTCTATACGTTATTATAGCTAATATACTTATGTACGCAATTATATGTAATATATATGGCAACGGGATAAGTTTATAGTATAGCTAAGGTAATAGTTTAAGAACCAAGGGGTATGGAAATAATTCAACTTAGACAATTTCTCGAATTATTCAATTTAAATGTTGTAAAGTAATATTTACGAGACCCTACTTTGAAATGTTGAGTTTTTTGAGTAAAGAAGTAAGTAGTAAGTTTTTGTGGAGTTTGAGCTTGGAGACTCGGCTTTATATAATGTATCAATCTATTATTTAAAGATTGGAATATTAAATTACATTTATACAGAATTAAAAACCATATATCAACTATGGTTATAATTTTAATATTAATATTAATAATAGTTTATTAACGGCCATATAGGGCAATTGAGTTTACAGCATTTATACAAAAATAATAAAAATTAGCCATTAGTAATAATGAATACCTAATAATAATATTAAAAATAAAAATAATACTTAATGTATTATAAGTATTATTATAAGTATGTATTATAGTATTTATAATGATTAATCTCTTTCTTCTACATTATATATTTTCTAAAAAAAAAATAAAATGTTATTAGTTTAAAATTCTTTATTTACCTTAGATTATACTTAATACAATATACTAGGTTATATACTATTTTAAATTTAGACATAAAATCCGGAGTTTAGATTCTTCATCAAAATTTAAATTGAAATTTATTTCAATACAGTTTTGGAACGTATGACATATAGGTCCGTTGAAACTATATAGTTGCAGGAGGGATGACGCATAAAAGGTTAATTCAGATCTTAAATAATATGAAGGAACCGACCAACCTATTTTCTCAAGATTTCAAGACAACTAATATGATCATGTAATATTTTATAAATAAAAGATATATCAATAAGTTTTCTTCCGGAAGATTTTTTAAAGACTTTTAAATCGTTATTAAGTATATTATAGTAGGCTTATTTAAAATATATACCAGTAAATCATATTTAATGAATTGATAAGCGTATTATTTCATAAGAGACAAATACCACATCCTATGTCGTAAAAATTAGTATAAATCGCAATGACTATTCAAGCAATATAGCACTATTTAATTTATCGCTAACACTATTCAACAAAATTATTCCCGCCGTTATCTAATCTATATATTCCATAATGAAACAAGTCCGACTGCCGACTGGTGTTTTTGTTGGGG